GGACAGTGGGGTGGGCGATGGGGCAGTGGTGCAGGAGAGCGCGGCAGGAGCAGTGTGGGGGGGACAGAGTGGGACGGAGGTGGCAGAGTGGGAGGGGGTGTCAGCCGAGGGAAGCGGGGCAGCTGGGGAGTCCGGGAGGGACAGGGAAGGGGTGGATGGTGGAGCCACAGCCTGTGGGCAAGGGGGGAACCAGGAGGCAGGGCTGGGGTGCGAGGGAAGGGGGCCAGTGCCCGCGGGGGCTGAGGGCCAGGGCAAGGCAGGGTGGGAGTGGGGCACAGCACATCTCATGTCCCCATGGCATGGAGAACCGTGTGGAGCGATGTGCCCCGGGGAGCAGCCGATTGCAGAAACCTCCCCAAGCACCCTTGTGCATGAGGACGGGGGAGCGGAGCCCAGGGGCAGAGGGTCTGCAGGAGGTGAGGGGCTGTGCCCGGGCACCCAGCCTCAGCCGGCAGCTCCCGGGACAGGGCCAGTGGAGGGCAAGGATGGGCCGCAGGAGGGGACAGAGCAGGCAGGAGTGAAAGCCGAGGGGGAACAGTCAGGCCTCTGCGAAAACAGGAGAGACACACAGCTAGCGGGTGTCTCGGAGAGTGCATGGAGTGCTTCTGGGGCCAGGCAGCAGAGGAAGGACAGTGCTGTTGGAGGAAGCCCAGACACCCCTGATGCTGGCAGGAGGAGCCGTGGTCCCCATGAGGTGAGTCCTGCGTGGGTGGCTGTGGCCCCTCGTGCTTATTCGGGTTCCCAGACCGGTCCCATCAGCAGCAGAAACCACTTCGTCCCGTTTCTTATACTTTAAGTATCTGCTGCCGAAGGGATAATAAATCCTTTTGGGTGGCAGCTTCTGCACTCGTTCCTGTTCCCGAAATCTCGTTACACATATCTTTGGTGCTAACGCAACCCGTCAGTCGTCTCGCCCCTCGCCCATGTGGAGCAGCTCCCACCACCCCACTGGCACTGGTGGCATCGGGTGAGCCTCGGCAGCACCCGCTTGCCCTGATGCTCCAGGTCAACGGCAGCACCAGCTTCGCTGGTTATGCTGGCATCTGCTTGTAGGAAATCTGTTACAGCAGTATCTCAGTAACTCAAAGGTTAGGACATTTTCTGCAAAGCTAATGTTTTCTCATTGTTTTGTAGGATGTTGTAAACCCAGACGCAGTTGTCGTGCCCTCAGTACAGCCCCAGGATGGGGAGGAAACTTTCCTCTAAGCTTTTCTGCAGCTCCTTCAGTGCTGTTTTCTGCATTTACACAAATCGCTGTAGATTTGTGCCAGTTGGGATGTTCACTCCTTTTTTTTTTTTTATTCCACGAGTACCACAACCGTCTGTCATGTTTTACTAGAGCAGCTACTCAGCGTGCAGCAGACAACTGAAATAAGCCTGTATATGCCAGCCCAGGAAACAGCACTCCTTCGCAATTATGAAGACAATAATCGCAAGGATTGTTCCACAGCTGTCATGCTTGTTTTTCCCAAAACACAGAGAAATATTGGACTGGCTGAACCTCCCCTCCTCTCTCAGGCACCGCTTGCTTCTGCTGGCTGGTTGGAGGGAGGGCTGAGGGTAGATGTGCTGTACGTGTTTCCGTAGGACAAGAAGCGTGTTTGTACAAAGTGCCTGTGTTTGACCCTGTGTCTGTGTACTGACTGCATTTCTCTGCGTCTCATTTGCCTTTCTGAAGTGCAGGCTTCACCGTGAGTCTTCGTCGCTGTGCATAGGGCGCTCGCGCACGGTAATGCTTTGATTCTGATGAGGGCGTCTGGGGTGTTCAGCAGAGATGCAGAACGGCAGGATCATGGGGAATGGTGGTCTCACACATGGATTTTTAGCTTGAGGGTCCGTGTTCCCCCCCTCTGTTGCCAACAAGCAAGCCCTCCGGTGTGCACGGGGCCGCGTGTGCCGGGCTGGCTGCGCCCAGGGGGGCTTCTCCTCGGGGATCCAGGCTTCTTGCGGGCCACGCTTCAGGGCGTTCTTGGGACTTTGAAATGTTGTTGAAAATCATTCCGTTCTAACTCAAATTTACAAATGAATACAGCCTGGCCATTTGTTTTTGCTGGTGTCAGTCAGGAGTAACTCCCTGGGCCACAGAGTCTGTGCTGACTCTGCAGGAGGGGTGGTCCGTGTCAAGCTGTTCCAGGCCGGCACTGGCTGTGGATCTCTGCTGTCGAGTCATCCTTTCAGCCCCCCGCACCTCCAAGGGCTCCCCGAGACCCTGCCAGGCTGCGGTGCCCAGGGCTGTGTGTGCAGCGGCCCGACGGGCATTGCTGCGCAGGATGCAGGGTGCTCTGCCCCTGAAGCGGTTTGAGTGGATTGGTACTGTAAGTCACTGAAGATCAGTACATGTGGGATGGGGAATTTCAGTGTGATCAAGTAATTCGTGTTTGTTCCCTCCTGTACTAGAGACAGCTGCATTTGCATTTTTGGTCTGGATACTAGGAAGTACTTTGAAAGAGAAAAGTAGACAAAAAGACTAATCATAGCTTTACAGTCCTCAGCAGTTGCATCGAGTGATCCTGAGTGGTGCAGCTGAAGTGTTTATTCTGTGCTAGATATGCAATATTTGCTTAAAAGCACATATTTGACTTTTGACCATTCGGCAATGGTCTTTTCTTTTTAACCAGGGAATGTACATAAAATCAGAAGTGGCTTATTCACTGGACCAAGACATTTTCAATGTTGTTCAATATAAAAAAAAGTGCAGTAAGTAGATAATCGGTGTTTATATGCTCTACAGTCAAATACACCTGGTATGTGAAGTGTTCAGAATTTAAATTCATGGTAAGGACCTTCTCCAGAGGTTTGGGTTTTTTCTGTATACATATGCACACCTGCACATTTACTTGGGTCTATAAAAAACCCTGTACCAGCCTGTGCAGTTCCTTGAATTTTTTGGATTGTTTCATTGTAAGAATAATACGTGCCAATCAAGTAGGGCCTAGTCTTCAGTATTTACCTCTGCTTTCTAACTGAATGGCTAATGTTGGGTTGAGCATTTGTGCTGCTAAAACTGTATCGTGCAGATATCCATGGAAAGCAAATGCCTGCAGCTCGTGAGCAGGACTGTACCAAAGCCATTGCCAAATGCACGTTCACACACATGGGTTGCGGTTCAGGTGTTACGGATGAGCAGAGGCAGAGGGATCAGTGCAGGGATTTGCCTTAGCGGTGAGTCCCTGGAAGGGTCGGGATAAAAACTGAGGCTGTACTTGGTCATGAACCACACTGGCTTATTTGACATTTAACTGCTTCATTGAGCAAAGGATGAAAATGCAAAAGGTAAGAGGTTTGATTCATTTGTCATAGCAAGTGCCAGAGTGATCTGCAGAGCATCTCTAAAATACTCTTAACTAATACTCTTGATCTGCAAAGCGAGGGCACTGGGAGGGGGGTCCCCTCTCCCGCGCTGGCGCTGTGTCGCGCTAAGGGAGCTGCAGCCACGCGGGAGCCCTGGGCAGCCCTGTTCTGCCTGAGGGAGAGGGCCCCTCCGGGCTGCAGCCCTGCCCGAGCGCTGCCCTCCGGGTTCTGCTCCAAGGTGAGCGCTGGGCGATGGGAGGGCAGTGCAGGGGTACGATGGGCCCCGGGGCAGGTGGTCCTCCGGGCTGGAAGCCGTCTCTGAAGCGGGTTCCTCCTCTTGGTGCAGCCTCTCGCCAGCCACCAGCCTCCACTGCCGACACTGCTGCCAGGAGGGAGGGTTCGTTCTGTATGGGTAGACGCTTCCTTTAAAGAAATCCGGGATGCAGAGCATGCTGGAGATGATTAAGTGGTAGTACGAGTGTGCAGCAGCAGACTGAACTAGATCCACTCAGCCTTCTAGAGAAGGCAAGAGCTGGTAACCCGGAGGCAGCTGAACCCCCTCGCCACTCTTGGGCTGCACTAGACCTGGGGCACCAGGGGGGTCCCAGGTGAACCATGCAGTAGTGACTGTAAGGAACCAGAGAGCTGACAATCCACTGTTCACAATACCTAAAATATTTATAAATGGCACTTGGGCATTTAACAGTTAGGGAAATGAATCCTTTGGTTAGGGACGTGCCGCCTTGTACAAGTTGTTGTATTGCTCTAAATAAAACACACTTCAAGTACTCTGGTTTTATATACTGATAGAAAAAAAAATCAAATTTCCCAAGGACACTCCATAATTTCTGAGCTCATATCATACTGATGAGGTCATCTCTTTACTCTCATGCTTCTTTCTCTGACAGCTGTATTTAGAGGATGGATACGGGGGGGTTTGATCTGTGGTAAGGACACGGCCCTTACCCCATCCTGTCAGCTTGCCCCCCGCGATGTTCCGGACGGTCCCCCCCGACTCACGTACTCCCCTTCTCCCTCACTTGTTTTGCACGCTGGCAGTGCCACAGGTACTC